AGAGGATTTCTCAGCTGCAGCAGTAAAATTAAAATCCATCATCAAATGTTGCATAGAAGTGGATGTCTAAGGATGAGCAGACCCCACCAACACTCCTGTATGCCACCTGCTCACATAAAAGCTCAACAAGGGCCATCCCATTTTCTACCCCACACGGGATTTCTTCCCCCTGCCTCTTCATGTACATCTTCCCATCTTTAACCCATGCACACTTGATGTTTTCTATCCCAAGTTTTCTATCTCAACTATGTTCCCAACAGGAACTTCCACAGCCCTGTGCCCTTTCTTCACCACACCTGAAACAGGTCCCAACTCTTAAAACCCCAAGAGATCCCAAAAGACCAGAAGTTCTAAGATATAAAGGAATAAGTCCCCTCCATCAAGAAATCTGGCACTGCTGTTTCTGAGTTCTCTTCTGTTAATGTTTCCTGCATTCTCCACTGGACTGATGGCTGTTCAGAGGGGGCACTATGATGACAAAGGCTGGTGGGACAGATAAGAGTAGTACTCGTCCCTCACCAAGGAAACTTCATGACACAACAGATGAAGACTGTTACACATCACATCACATCATCACATCACATCACATCATCACATCACATCACATCACATCACATCACATCACATCACATCACATCATCACATCACATCATCACATCACATCACATCACATCATCACATCACATCACATCATCACATCACATCACATCACATCATCACATCATCACATCACATCATCACATCACATCACATCACATCACATACACCACTACAAACACAACAAACCAAAATGCAGAGTTGTGCAGCTCAGATGCAATGGCTGCATCTACAAAACAACCCCTACATTGTGATAGAGGGGGAGGAAAGATTGTAAGAGCCAAAGCATCGGGGGGTTTATTGTGAGACTGTGTCTCCTACTAATGTCAGAGGCAACACACATAAAGTTTCACCAACATGACTGCTTAAACATGAGCTGGACAAGGACAACAAAACAGACATGCAAAAGTGGATGGGAGAAAGACTATGGGGGCTCGACCCTACATAAATAACTATATCTATATAATATATATAGATGAATTCTGAGAGTGAGAGAAATGGTCTTCCCCAGGAAGGAGAACACCAGTAGGTTATACAATGCCAAATGGTCAGATCTATAAATACACAACAACATTATACAGACTAAGAAGGGTATATTAGAAATATATACATGGATATACATATACATATATGCATGTAGCAACAATTAATGTAAAAGGAAGCCATTGATTTGAAAGAGAACAAGGGGGTACATGGGAGGGTTTAGAGGAAGAAAAGGGAGGGATGAAATGAAATATTATATCATAATCTAAAAGGCAAAAGAAGAAACAGATGTTCTCTTGAAATCTAAAATATCACCTTCAATGGAGAAACTAGGAGATATATTCCAATTGTTCTATCCTGTTGGATAGTGATATATTTGTCACACATACAACTCAGAAAACAACATTGGAGGATAACAGTCAGCAATCAAGTGGAACACCATCGTTCAGAATGGTTCTCATTATGGATAGGTAAGGACTTCTATTCCCCAGATGAATATTCTTGTATCTACCCCAAAATTATATAATTAACACATAATGTTCAGAGTCCATAGTGCAAATGGAGCAATTCCAGTCAGAATACCAGTGTTGTGTGCAACACACAGCACACAGGAGACATGCAGTGGAATTGGCATATCTCACATGGCATCCCTTGAGGACTCTCTAAGCACAGAGATAAGGAACAAGAACCAGACGTACTTACCTGGGATTGAAAACTCAAGGGGGTCACTAGGCAGTGACCACAAGTAGGAATTGTGTTTGTAAGACCCAAAGCATCTGTAGGTCCTCAGGTGCTCCAGGCTCACAGGGGAGATGAGGAATGTGTTGTGGTCCTGCTGTGAACAGTTCTGGGGAAAGGAAGCATTTCCATCTCTGCAGAGGATGAAGATATTAAAGGAACCATGTACGTGGCAATGGAGAGTTGCATTGATTTCTGAGAATCCCTGAGGTCCTGAATCAACAGTAAGGGATGGCTTCTTCATGTAAACACCTGGAAAAAAAAGACTCTGATATTAGTTGCTTGTAGTGACACATTCCTTTAATCCGAGCACTTCATAGACAGGGGTAAGTGTATTGTTGTGAATTTAAAAACAACCTGCTCTATATTGAAGTTTCAAGTTCAGACAGAGTTACATGGTGAGACCCTGTCTCAAAAAGTTTACAAAAAGACCCTTGTGTTAGTTAGGGCTTATGTTGCTGTGATGAAAGACCATTACCAAAAAGCAAGTTGGGGAGCAAATGTTTTATTTGGCTTCTCCTTCACCATTACTGTTCATCACCAAAGGAAGTCAGGACAGAAACTCAAACAGGGCAGGAACCTGGAGGTAGGAGCAGGTAGTATTCACAGTGGTAAACCCCAGCATTGCTGTGTATCATATTCTTCAGACTGAACTCACACACCTCCTGGTCTTTCTGTAAGATATGATCAAACCACTTTCCATCACGCACATAATGGGTTAGACACAGTCTAATCACTCCTGGAGGAGTCCTGCAGAAGATGGTCACAGCACTGCCTGTGGAAATCACAGCTCCTGGAACTGCCCAGATGGAAGGCTGGGGTGGATGCCCTGAAGAGACACAGGAAAAGAGAGCTAGTCCTCTGATGTCAGGAGGGCCAGGTTCCCAAGGAGCTATAGAGTAGCTCCCACAAAATTACTAACCAAGAAAATGCCCCACAGACATGCCCACAGGCCAATATGGTGGGGGCAATTCCTCAGTTGATGTTCCTTCTTCCGAGAGGACTCTAGTTTGTACCATGTTGAAAGAAAACTAACCAGCACAACTCCAGAGAGAAGTCTCACAGTTTTCACAATTGATATTGTGCCACAGTTCCAGAAGCCAAATCATCTTTACTGTTCCCAAACAGCGTGAGAATAACTTTCAGAGGAGGAGTGCAATAAGAGGGGGTGAATGGGAGGTTGGGGTGGGAATGGGAGGAGAGAAGGGAGGGGAAAATGTGATTGGTATGTACAATAAATGAAAAAAAAGTTAATTAAATAGAATTTTTAAATGTGATATTCTTTTAAAAAAAATAATAACTCTCATAGTTT